TTTTTTATTTATTTGTTTTTTTAAACTAATTATTATAATAATAACATTTTATAGTAACGGGTATAGTTTCAGAAGACTTCAGAATTGTCAATATTCGGGTTCGGCAACAACTAACTAATGTGGAAATTCGAGCTTCGCAATTAACAAGCAATCTTGATGATAATACTTACTTAAAAAATGGTCTTTTTGTGGTATATTCTGAATATATGAAACAACGTAGATATATTATAACACGCTCTATCAAATTTTATCGATATATTCGATATACGCTTTTAGACAATGATAGAGGATTCTATGTGCATATCAAGCTTCATATTGGTGACGTCGTAATTATAAAAGAAGAAACTGATGAATCTTATGCTATCGTTAGAGCAATTTTCACTCACAAGTATAATGATAGAAATGTGTACACTTTTGTTTGGATTGATTGGTTAAAAAATACTAAGCATACTGATTCCCTTTTAAGATGTCTAATCTTTGAACGACAGCCAGATTTAGATACAAGATGGCATCGTATTTATCCAATTTCGGTTCTCAATGACATTTCCAAAGTGCACTTCGTATATGCATGCCATATTTCATGTTCATCAAGCTCTTATGATAAAACCAATGTTCAATATTTTATAAACAAATTTTTTTATAAGATGGTTTAAAAAATGTTTTGGAGATGGATTGGTTTTAAGACGCTTATAAAAATTATATAGGGTATTACCATAGTATAATATGTCAGAGAGTAATTCATGTTTTGGGTTGATGTAAAATTTTTTATTGATGAAATTATTAATTTAAAATACATAATATAATGCTTAATACTAGTACGTACGTACACTCTCCAAACGTTTAATTTTGTTCTGTTTTCTGCATATTATCTTGATTTAATAATACTACGTATACATTAACTAAATAACTCAAAGTAGAAATAGTTTTTAAGAGTTCTTTTTATAGACATGCAATGTAACATTTATGAGTGAATTTTTCATATAGAAAATTATTTTGTCAAATTTTAATTATCTTTTTAAAAAACTGCAGCAGTGAAAATTTTTTTATAACCGGTATAAGTAGTGATTTCGACAGTGAACAAATAATAGCTAATATTGAGATGCCATACAAGCGTAACAATCGACAAAGCGAACAAATCTAACACTCAAAATAAAAATTTACTCTACTCCTAATGTAGAAACATCTGGTTCTAAAATTAGGGCATCTTGTACTGATGCAGCAATCATGGGTCTATGTATTTCAATCGAAAAAATTTTGTAAAGATAGGGTATTGCTGGTAGGTTAGAGTTGGAAGACCATAGTTATACTAACATTTTGCAAGGAAAATGTTTAAGTAGTACGCAGTAGGAGATTTCATAGGCATAATGTTGGGTTACAAATGATTTTTGCAATTTTTTGCTTTATACCAGGCTTGGTGCTGAGAAAAGGACAAATTTGACAAAAAAAAAGTTTTGCGAAAATTGATAAATTCTATAAGAAAATAAAAACTTTAAAGAATTATACTGCAAAATTTTATTAAGATTATAACATTTGTCCCTTAAGTGCAAAATGTTTCTAAATTAGGTTTAGATTAGTTAAGCTCAAATTTTTTTTTTTTTGAAAATTGTCACTTAGCCTGCCTGAACTTAAAATTTGATTGGCTAGTGAAAGTTTTTAGACTAGAATACATAAGTAAGTTGTTTTATTTATCCAATTTCACATATTTTATTCTTTCTTTATTATAGCACTATTAGTTACTATAGTACACTATCTGTTCTAGTGTGGCGGGATTTTAATTTCAGCTTGATTCAGGGCACGACACTGAACATGTGTCACATGGTCATAGTTTCATATATAAATATGATTTTACACCTAATTGCTAAAATTTTTACTTTTTCTCCAGCTCAGCCTGACATGGAATCTGAACACGTGCAGAGAAT